CGATCAGGCCAGTCAGCATGGGTTTATGAAAAGCAGGTTGTCCTGCTTGACTAACCTGATCTTCTCTGACAAGATGACCCATTTAAGTACATGAGGGAAAGGCTGTGGACATTGTCTACCTAGATGTTGGTCAAACCTTTTGACAGTTTCCCACAGCATTCTCCTGGAGAACCTGGCTGCTCATGGCTTTTATGGGTCCACTCTTTTTTGGGTGAAAAAATTTGCTGGGTAAAACAACTGGCTGGATAGCTGGACCCAGAGAGTTGTGGTAAATGGAGTTAAATCCAGTTGGTGGCCAGTCACAAGCGGAGTTCCCCAAGGCTCATTATGGGGCAACTTCTGTTTAATATCTTTATCAGTGATCTGGACAAGGGGATCGAGTGTGCCCTCCTGTGCAAAGATCCTTTTCCCTCTGAGACAGGTGTACCCCATCTGTCACCAGCAGGCCTGGTGCTGTGTAGACCAACTCATGATCAAAAAAACCCCACATGGAAGTATCTTTCACTTTTTTATAGACTCAAAATTTGATGCTGCACTGAATTTAATAGTGCTGTTCAGACTGCCTCACATATGAAATATTATATCTGAATAAAGTTACAAAATGAATCAGCAAAACAGTTTTCTACTAAAAACTTATCCAGAAGTGAACAGAAAAACTTACTTACCTATAAGAGGTAACTAATGTTGAAATAATGTGGAATGTAAAATTATCTAAGATGATTTCAGTGACTGAATGTAACACTATCATTTGATAAAAGTTTACTTACAAAAGTAAACCGTATTTCCAGTTTCCTGCACAGCAAAACTGAGGCCCCAAGGAATTAAGTTAGGTTTAAACTCACAGAAACAGGTCTTCCACCTCCCCATTCCCTGCTGTTAGATTGCACTGCTACAAATCGATGTGCTTTAGTCATTCCATAGGTGTACTAGATAAAGCCAAATCACACACTTTCAAGGCTTGGGACATCAGCAATAACTTTATTGCTATTGCCTGAGGCATCTGATTCAAAACTAAGCAAAACAAAATCCAAAGGGGAGGTTCACCTTGTTGGCATGGAGCAAATAACATCTGTCTTCAGACGACTAATTGAAGGTGGTCATATGAGGCTGCACTGAAATTTAACTCACTCGGAGGTTTAGGAGTCCTTGAAGAACATTCACCAGTTGGATTGCATGCACAGCGATAGAAGCATGACTGCCTCACCTGGTCACGTTTTACTCCATTCTCCAGCCTCTGCCTAAAGAACCAGTAAACATTTCAGTTCATGACTAAGAGACATTTCTATACAGGCCTGAAAAATTACATCAGAATTCACAACTGGTGCTATAAGATGATGAGCAGCAAATGCTTCATTCAGTTAATGCTGATCCTAATTCAACACATTTACTCTTCAGCAACATTTTTTTAAGAAGTGTTCAGATTGGGTGGGGAATAAAAATCAATTGGGAACAAAAGCACAAAAAGGAGCTGTTAACACTAACCTCCCTATAAAATAGAAAATTTGAATTTGCTTCCAAATTCAGACTGCCTGACGACATGGCAAAATTGCCTGTATGCCTTGCTACCATTTCCAGGGTACACCATTTCACTCACCCTAGTTCTCATTCTCTTTGAGCATCTGCCATTGGAAAAGGTATAAATAATGCTCTAATTGTAGCTTTGGAGTTGACTCAGCATAACAGCTATCCTCTTGTTTTTCACTCTGATATAAACACAGCTTATGTAAGGGTTTGGGATGAGGCAGACCCAGCTATGTCTTCTGTAACACATCCCAACCAGTTTTAGTTTCTTAGCTCCCAAGCCTGTCACGACACAGGTGAGAAAATGAGCCTAACGAATAGGCAGTTCAGCCAAGCAGAGAATACCAGTTGTTACCCAGAAACTCTGGCCAGTCTGCAGCATTTCAGAATGAACCTTTTACAGACTGCGTGAATTGAGAAAAGCATCACTTTAGATGAGAAAGAGTTTAGCTCAGCAATCTGACCACAGCCAGTCCACCAGTACCAAGATGGTGCAATTTTGTTTAAAGAGTAATATGCTTGTGCCAGAGCCGCATCCTCTCAGAAAAGCATTTACTGTCCTGCCTGCCATAGAGGCAGCTCAGGTTTCTTTTCAGAATAGCTATCAGGTTGAAGTCTCATACAAAATGCAACTAAGTTTAGATCTTGTATTTCAAAGTATCAGAGCATTCAGCTTCCAAAGCATACGGAACAAAATGGAAGTGTTTGAAGGCAACAAGAGATGACAGCAGTCGGCACCTTACAGAAAAAAGCACCTTCTGGGAACATACACATTTTTCTAAGGCTAAGCAGCACACTGAAGAAAGGACCACTAGAAGTCAGTATTTAGACATTTATTTCGGATATGCAGTTTACACGCATATTATTGAGCGAAACTGAATTGCAAATATACAAATACTGAACAAGCATTATCAAATAACATAACTGGCACTAGTGTTATAAGCATATTACTGAAACTGGTGAGGCTAAGTCATGGAAGAGGACTGCAGCTGATGGCATTTTCTTTTTATCCAACCAAACTTCCAGTAGCACCATAATGGCAATACATGAAACACAAGACAGAACATTGTTAACTTATTCTGATAGTCACAATTTTTTTTCTCTTCATTTTAGTGAATTACATAGCAAAAAAAATGTTAACAGTGCAGGCGCTTTGGCCAACTTCAGCTTGTGTTCAGCTGTACATCTTCCATATGCAAAAGAAAAAGAAAAAAGCCAGCATATTTGGAACCCATCTTTGCACTTGGGCAGTCATTGCACTGTACTTTGATTCTGGGACTGAAGATATGCACGTCTTGCAAAGAGATGTCATGTCCACTAAAGCCTGAGAGAGTCTTTGGTAGGCTAATACTTCATTATTATTATACATTTATCTACCACAGTCATTTTATTCACTAGAATTTTCTTTTGTGATCCAAGGTGGCCAAAGAGGACATTCTGGAAAACATTACAGTAAAATCCTCAAACGACCAGGCACTTCAAACCCAGTCTTTTCCAAAGGCACCAAGAATTGATGGGGCACTGTTTTCCCCCCTAATGAAAGGTGACTGCATCTGCTTTTCTACAATGCTTACAAATCACTGGATTGTTATTTTACAGTTTTTATACACTAGGTAGTAGCCTTATCTGCTGCATGGTTGGTCGCATGAATAAATAAGTTAACCCACTGTTCTTCTCAGGTGACGTCTCCATTCCACCATAGGTTAAGTACCAATTTCTTCTGTTTCAAAATTGTGTAAAATGCCATAACCTTGCTCAAAGTGTACACACATACAAACGACTTCTGACACAGGCTACATCCATCTGAAGATACACGGTTCATTCTACATGCATTCTAAATACAGTGTGCCCAGTAATGAAACAAAGTCATCATTATGAATATCCACTGTTGGAGATGTTTGTATAGGTCTCTGCAAAACTTTTGCTTCCCTTAAACAGAGTTCACACAAGAATGGTTTTAAGTCACTAACACTCAAGCTAACACCCATTTATCCCAAACCCCACTATTTTCCAAGTGAACAGTGCAGACATTATTCATTTCAGCATTTAACATATTAAGAATTTACCAATTTTTATCTAAATACACCAAGTATATGCTTTCAAGCAAAGTTGTGGCAAAAATACAAAACATGGACGTATTTGTACTGCTGTAATGCACTTGGTTAAAGCCTTCATGTCTCTTCACACAGGTCTAAGATCCATATGAAGTATTTCGCCTTATCAGACAAGTATATATAAAATGCAGTTGTATCAAAACCTTGCTTCTGCTGGTCACCTGAAACTTATGGAAGTCACATGTCATTCAACCAGCTTTCAGACAGGGTTCTTTAGTGGTAAATATATTTTTGCAGCACTTAGAGGTTTAAATTTCAGTCTGAATAGCAGTGCTTAATTCCACAGCATGTTGTGAATGGTTGTTGTTTGTTTCTTTCAGTGTTTCACCAACACTTAAATCTACATCTTTCGAAGATCCATTATTAATGCTTTCCTCAGCAATGTAACTCAGCTGTGGAACATCAGTGCTTGGGGCTGTTGGAACAGGCACAGGGATTCCACTGGGCTGTGGAGAGTTTTCCAAGCGATCATTTTCCACCTCTGGGAGAACACTGACTGTGGTGAAGCGGGTATGATAGTCGCTGGAACCATGGCTACAGGAAGTTTTCATACTTTCCATATCTGAGCAGCTAAACTCAGAAAAATGACTCGAGTGAGAATCTGCTACAGATGGAATACTATCACTAAGGGAGGGAGAGTCAAATTCACTGGAGTTTGTGCTTTGTTGTTCCAACAGCTGGGCGTCCATGTCCTCTCGTGTCTCATTTATCTTCATGCTACTCTTCTTTCTCAGCTTACCTTTACATTTTTTTCCTGCTGTTGTTTCTTTGGACCACTTGGTGGCACTGGATTTACTTTCTGGCAAGCAGGCCGATGAACAACCAGCATTACTACGACCTGCAGCACTGCCATCGTCAACACTACTGCTTCCACTGTTGTGCCTGAATTTGGCTGGCTTTGATTCAATATCCACTTGCACTTCCATACTGTTGCCTTCCCTAGAACAAGAAAAAGTCCAAAAGTGTAAGGGGTCATCTAAGACAAGCCAGCTAACACAGCAAAACAAACTCTTACTTCTTTCCAAGATACACAGCGAAAGAAACTTAGAGAGATGTAACTTGTTTTAGAAAATTTAAGTGTTAAAACAAATAAACAGCCCAAAGAAAACCACAAAGTCTGAAAGATCAAACACTTTACTCAGCTACAGCAATGGCATCTCTCTTTGGAAATAACGTTGGCAAAAATAAGCAGTCACATGTAATTGAATTTGTAGCAAAATTTGTTGTTTCAAAGGGTATCATTAAAGTAGATTGGCTGAGGCATGCTTAGAAGGTCCTTTAATAAGCAAGGCTTATTGATCTTCTATTTTCACCACATTTCTCTTACCTGTCCAAAGGGATGTAGGAGTTCAGGATGGACCCTGCCATTGCTTTGGTACTGGCATTATCACTAACTGTTCCCAAGCTAACTGTGCCAGATTCTCCGCTCAGACTGTATCGTTCTTTCTGCACGTCTGCTTGTACTTCCAGTCTGGGAGAGAAAGAAAAAGAGTTGCATATACTAGTGCTAAAGTTAAAGCACACTAGTTGAAAATTAGTGTCACCTTGCGGAGTTTCTCCACTATTCAGTGGTAACTAGAGTTCACTAGTGACGTGCATATTTACCCTACTGAAACAGTTTCTCTCTTCCCACTGTGAAAAATTACTATGTTCTGATAAAAACCCCAACAACAAAAAACCCACAAAAACACCCAAAAGCAAAACCAGATTCATTTCCCAACAGAGCAAAATGTTGCATGTTAACCAGAGGTTCTGGATTCTTTCCTCCCCAAGATCTACAAGAACAACTTCCAGGCTTTTGCAGATGGTGTACTGTACTCTAAAAATGGAAAAAACATTCAGAAGGGTACATAAGTTCAAGAGATTATAGTTCCCCTGTTTCTCCAGCTGCAAAATTATTACTAATTAAATAACAGGCAGAGAACTGTGTCCTGTACTCTGCTTTAAATTGCATTGTTATCAACTGCAACAGGAGTAATAGAAACCTGAACAATCTTAAGTTGGGCTGGGCAGATAAACCAGAAATCAAATTATAAGCTTTTTTTCCAAATGCCTTATTTATGTTCTGACAACGAACTGGAAGGGGTTTTTTGTTTTGTTTCCCACTCAGCTCTTTAAAGATGACAAAAGGTATACCTCACTCAACAGTCACAGCTTGAAACAAAGAAACTCTTGATGCTATTCTGCCCACCTTATTCTATACACCCTGGATTTCCAAATTACTCAAGAAGGTGAGTAGTGTTAGCACCTGCTTTAAAGAGCAAATTCCATCCTGAACCCTAAACGTTAACAATCCTTTCCAGACATTCCCTTTCTCTTCAGGATGCAGTACAGCCAACAGTAAGGCCCCAATTCACAGGAGGCATGAAGTGACAAGAAGTTGCCACCTTGGCAAGGCCAGGTGCCCTCCTGCCTAAGTCTGTTTTGAATCCATACGCCAGCCAGGTGTTCTGAAGGCACAGATTCAGTGGTCTACAGGTATGAAGTCAGCAGTTCTGACTTTGGGGTGAGATACACCAGAGAACATGACTGTGTTAGACATGAGGTGCCTCCCTCTGACTTCTGGGTAGAGGCTGCTCTCATGGGAAGCAGGAGAACAAGATCTCAGGCCCCACTCACTCCCCAAAAAATTCAAACTTTGAAGATTACGGTCTAGCAGGATCTCTTGGAAATCAGAGACAGTTCATTTCTGACAAATGTGCTATCTCCCAGAGACAGTTCTTTACAAAAGGAACCAATTTTAAAAAATAAAAATCAAAACCCCTAGTAATACCACTTTCCTCTGCTTCCATGTAGAACAGGATATTGTATGGTAGAAAGCATATCACTTACCTGTTAAAGCAATTAACCATTGCACTTCCCGAGAGGCTCCCTGTTATACTGGCCCCAGCCAGGGCCATGGTACTAGCCGTTTCACTTAGGTTGTCTCGAATGGCTCCTATTCTATCCATGTGGCTAAACCTCCCCCACA